ACATGTGACTTTTGGCACGTTTTACTTCAACAAAAAAATCCTACGATCATCGTAACCGAGATTGCCTTTCATTTTGTCCTACTGTTGTTAGACCTTTTTCTGGTAATCTTTTGGCTAGCTTCATTTTCCTTACTTCTTTTTCTTTCTTCTTCAAACGTTAAGAATAAAACGAATAAAAAGACGGTTCGTGATTTGGTGTGTGTGTGTGTCGGGTTCTGGAAATATCCAGAATCCATGTGTTGTGTTATACCTTGGGATTCCTTTTTCGAAAGAACTTTTTTCCCCCTTTCGTTCTTTTACCTTTTGCTCTTTTCACCATCATAGTCAACGATACAAAAACGATACATCGAGAACTAACCCCCCCATAGAAGGCTACGAAGACAACTACGAAGAGACTATGACGACGACGACGACGACCCACGTGTTCCGGGTTGTCATCTTCGTTCAGTTATGTTACCAGGACAATATCTAATAAAAAGCGAAGTGAAGTGGTCCATAACCATCACCACCACCACCACCACTATCACCAACCCTAAATTCTTTCTTTCTCTTTCTTTCTTTTTTTCTGTGTTGAGATTTTTTCGCCTTTTCCTTTATTATAAAGCTTTCCTCCCATGGAATTCCACTCGTTGTTGCCTTCATCCACGTGGATCACTGGCATGAAGAAAATATAGAAAATGCTTTAGGATCTTTTTTATTGTTCGTCTAATAATATCGAGAGGATACACACAAAATCTTATATCTTTTGGTCTAAGTTAATCCGATAAAAAGATTTGGCCAAAAGGGAGGATGGTTTTTTTCCTTTTCTTTGATTCCATTCAATTTTTAAGATTACCTTCTTTTTTGTTCTATTTATATATATATGTGTGTGTGTGTGTATGTATGCATTGGTAACCAATTCGATTGAACATTCAATACTTTATAGATTTTTATTTTGATTTTATCCTTTATTCTTTTTTTTTTTTTTTTGGAAATTACGACAGTTGGCAAGAAATTTCTCACTTGGCACGATCCACTTGGATGAGAATAACAACGGTGTTTAATCTGGCAACGATGATAATAAAACCCCGTAATAATAAGAATCTTGGTTTTGTTCTCGTAAAAACTAAAAGACCCTAGCTAATAATTACAACTCCATCCCATTCTCTTTCATTTCTTTTTAAAACGTAATTAGATCCTATTTTTCGTCTAACAGATGAACATAATTCGTAGATTCAACTGCAAGAAACTTCATGAAATAAAATTACAGTTACCAATATCACCAATTAATTTATACAAATATTTCTACAATCATTTGTTCGAAAATTTAACACAAATTAGTATGAACCAATATAAAAGTACATTTCTAATTAATTAACTAACCAATTGTGTTTCATTTTACAGTTTTCTAGATGAAGAAATTGATGAATATTAACTCATGGGAATGTAGTAGTTATTTAGAAAATGATCCCTTCTGTAAATTCGTTCATATGAACTATCCCATAAACGATAGTAAAATAGGGGTTTACTTTCTCTCACCGTCACCCACTTCCACAGCTACACACACACACACACACACACATGTATATTGAGCCTGCATCAAGCTTGCATCGTTTCGTGTTGTCCGTAGTGATTGCTGGACGGAGGGTTGTCGCTCAGGATCCCTAATGAATCTATTAGGGATGCCATCCCTTCGTCCCTAGAGTTGCATCCAGCATCCTGAACCATCCAGCAGCAGCAACAGCAGGAGGGAGTATGGGTACACTCACTCGTTCTCTCTCTCTCTGTTACTCGTTATCTTCATTGCACGATRCATTCTATCATTATCTCTATCTATCTATCTATCTTTCTCTCTTACTCTCGTTTAATAGAACATTTCTATCCTTCCTCTGTGCAATATCCAACGGGGCCCAACGGATGTCTCGTAAATCTGATTATCGATCGGTAATCAATATCGTTGCAATTTGGCGGTACGCCAGGACACACTGCACACTGCATTCTCTATACGTGTACAAGTATATCTATATATTCGTATATATGTGTGTGTGTGAACGTCATTTGCATCAAATATGACAGGCAGAAAATATTTTCAACTTTTTCTTCTATTTTGTTGTTGTTCCCAATAGGTGGGTGTAGGGGGAACCTTCCTTCCCTAATCGATTTTTAGGATTAATTTATTTTCGTTAGGATCGTTCATCTCTCTTTTTTTTTGTTTTTTGTTTAATCACCGTTATTTGTGCACGCTGGGACAACGTTGAAATAATCTAACTCGATGTTATGGGTGGGTGTTTTTGTTTTTATTCGGAACGGTCGTGTTATAAGTCTTTTTTTTTCTCTCTCTCTCTCTCTCTCTCTCTTTCTTATTCTTCCCCTATTTCTCTATCTTTTTCTTTCTTAAAGCTTGTGGGTCGAATGACTCTTCGAGCAGGTCAAGCGTACTTGCGTGTTTGACAGTATTCTTTCATCTCTCGTGTGCTGTTAGCCAAAAGGCTACGTGAGAAAAGAGAATGGTACTTTCTTCCTCTCTTTTATTCTCTCTCTCTCTCTCTCTCT